AACGTAGTCGATAGTTTCTAATTGTTCGACAGGTAAGAAATATATTTGTTCTTTGAAAAAATCGGTTCCTAATGTTAAATGCAGTTTCAACTGGATATCGATAGAATAATTGACGTAATATTCGAATATCGCTTTGGTTTAATAGATTACGACCACGTCCTTCTCGTTCAGTAACATTATTTGTTTCATGATATAATCGTAGAATGTTAAACACAGTTCGGATTGTGCAGTTCATAAAAGAAGCTATTCCACCTGGAGTCAAATTCTGATCGAAACGTAACGAAATAATTTGCCATCGATCTCCTACAGATAAATGACTGCTCATTGTCAATAAATCGTGCTGTTTGAAATAAAGAATTAATGAAAATGTTCTTTATCCGCGTGATAATAACTAAAATCATCTAAGCGGACGTACTACTGTGAAAAAAATCTCTTTTAGGACGAGAAGAACGAAAAAAAGCATTAAAGATATAGGTCACATGTCGTCCATTTTAGGAAGAACAAAAATGAATTTTTTTTATACTAATAAACGAAGTTGTCCAAACTTGTTACGGAAACACATCTGCTCTTTACATAGAATGATAGATAACTCCATGAGCCATTCAATTGTATGGTTTCTTCTTTTATAAGTTATTTGTTTAAAGATAAAAATTTCGAAAAAATTCAAAAAAACAGTAAAAAAAATATCGATTTTTTTGTCTTTGTAAAGTCGACATCTTTTTACTTTATTCAAATTTCTTTTTACATATAAATGCAAGAAAATAAATAAATAGACAGGATGGTACAGAATTTGGAGCTCTATCAGGATACGTAATTGCTTCTTTTTAAATATAGTTTTATGATGGTGAAAAAATTAAAAACCTAACTTTGAGTGCACAAAAAAAATTTTGTGTCGGGGAATCTCGGGATGAGGGTACTTGTGCTGTACCCGATTTTTTTCCATGATACGTAACCGAAAATCAAAATGTAAATACATAGGGTTACAGAAAACTCCACGGGCTTTCAGAATATCTCATTGGTTTTTAAAAACTATTTTGTTATGGTGACAATATATGAGAAATACCGACTGAAACTATTTTATTTCGGGGGGACGTATTTTAACCAGAATTCATTAAGCAATAAATGTTACAAGAGCTTTTCGTTTAAGTTTATTGAAATGACTACTTGTTCTGCTAAACAAAAACAACTCTTCAAATGCACCTTTTCTTTTTATAGAATCAAATCACATGAGTGAAATAAAATTTAAACATTGTCTGTTTGTAAATATTGTAATAAAGCAAAAGAATTTCATATAAAAAATGAGGTTTATTTCTGTTTTCTAAGTATGCAATGGCATCTACATCGAAATCATCGTCATCCACCAAAAAAACGACTACATCTTCCGTTGATGCACCAAGTAAATTCTATTTTGCTTGTCGAAATAATGAATTAGATGCTGTTACATCACTTCTTAAAACTGCATCACTTGATGAAATAAATCGTCTTGAACCTAATGGAAGTACACCATTACATGCAGCTGCCTACTATGGAAATAATGATATTGTTAAATTATTACTCGATCATGGAGCATCAAGAACAATTAAAAATAAATACGACTATACTCCTCATGATGAAGCAAAAACGGATGATACAAAAAGATTGTTTCAACGTATTACGGAACAAAATCGTTTTATTGGGCACACAGGACCAATTGAATGGATTTATGTCGACGATGATCCAGAAGCATACGCATCATTTAATCGAAAAAGTTTAATGAAATGTAAATCGGATGCTGATTTTAATCGACTAGCAACTGGTATACAAAAAAGTTATATCGACGGGAAACTAGCTGATGGTCATAAAATAAGTCATATTCAGTGGCTTTTTGAACAAGCCGTAAAAGAGAACGATCCACGATATGTTGTTAAAGCTTACACAGCTGAAACTGTTTTTTATGTTCGTCTCAATACCGATTTGGCTATGATGGAAAAATATTGGAGTGGTGATAAACATGAGCGACATGTTGCATCAATTTTTACATTCCATCCAGCATTTGAACCCTATCAATTTACAGGTGAAACTTATCGTGGAGTTAAAATGTCCGATAGTGATTTGAAACAATATATTGTCGGTTCAGAATTTATGAATAAAACATTTCTGAGTACATCAAAAGACCGTTCAAATGCTGAAAAATTTATGAATGATTTCAACCCAAGACGAAATGCTCTTAATGAATTAATAAAACATTCAGTTCTCTGCAAATATGTTATAAAATATCCGACAACAGCACTTGCCATTGAAGATCTATCCGAGTATCCAAATGAAAAAGAAGTACTCATTCTACCATATGCATCATTTGTTGTAAAACAATTACAAAATCCATCGAAAAAAGGTGAAGTAATTAAAATTGAAATGGAAGAAAAAGAACCAACTAAATATACAACTGTACACAAATCAAAATTAGTACAAAAATCAAGTTCAAAAAGTAAGCCGGATGAGCCCGAATTATTTGATACAGCTACATATAAAAAAATATTTAAAGATGCAAAAGAAACAAAAAGTGGAGCAACAACAAGTAATATTGATCCATCTGATATGGCTAAATTGTATCAGAGTTGTGCTGATGAAAAACTGAAAGAATTTGGAAAAATGGAGACAGGAAATTTTAATTTGTCGGCATACCATCATCAGTCGTACAGCACAACATCAACAGGAACAGGAAAAGATAATGTTAATAAATTATTGAAAGACATGGGATTTGCCAGTAGTGACAGTGATAATGAAGAAGTTTAATCGGTGTCACGTATTTCTTGTGTCAAATAAAAAGTAACTATACTTATAATTGAGATGCAAGTTTTTTTCGATGAAATTTTCCAGATTTAATTTAAGAAGAGAAATTAATTTAAGTTGCTTTTTACTTTAATTATAACTCATTTACATTAGTTTTAAGCTATTTAAGGGGGGTAAACACTCCCTAAACCTGTCCTCAAATTATGCCAGTTTGTAGAGTGCGTCGAGCATTATGTATCTTCAAGAAATTTTGGCGGTCCTATGGATATTGGTGAAGTTATGAACTTTTTAACGTTGGACTTGGCCAACATTTTTGACAACATTTCAGCTGATTTTCGATATTTCCAAAGTCATTCATATTGACAAAAATCTGATTCAAGTATGTTTATATGCACAATTATTCATAGTTATTATGTATGTAAAAATATGAAGAAAAAATTTCTATCTAATAGACTTTTTATGAATTTTTCTCTAAAACTGATGCTAGTTGCATGTAGTCTGGTTGTTTACAATATTTTTTTTCTTCAACCCCTTTTGCTCAAATATAACGAATAATATATCATTCAAATCAGCTACTCAAGCGCTATAAAATCCTAAATTTTGTTTTTTAATTTATCATGAATATGAGGTTTTTTTCGAGATTTTTTATACACAGGCTTTTCTACGAATTAAAAGTTCATATATTACATATCACCGATAGGTGAAACTTTTAACTAGAACTAGAGTCAATGAAAACTACATTTGCGGATAGAGGATAGTCGATTGCATAAGTATCCACCAAAATTGGCTCGGGGTACTGCCAGTCTGGAAGCAAAAAGTTTTTTGGAAAGTTTTCAATGGAAAAAAAAAAAAACGGAAGCAAAAAAATATAGCGACTCGAGCAGGAATTGAACCCACGCCGTAAGTATATATTCTCTTTCTTTCTGCTCTGTCATCTTATATTTATCTTTATCCATTTATCAACAAAATCAGACGTCACCATCAATCCATTCTCAAATGGTTTCTCTACTATTTGAGACTTTTCAGCATAACAAAAGCGTTCTTCCCTCCGAGACCGGGTACTTATTTCTACTTTCTCTCTCTTTACTGGTTCTTGTTTCCGACTATTATTCTTGTGAAACTGCACTTCGTTCTTCAAATCCACAACATGGTCACCTAACTCAATTTGTCGCTCATTATTCACATTTTCAGTAGCTTCAAATTCAAAATCCAAACAATGTTTTAATTCTAGTTTCTCGTTTTCGTTATTGAAATACCGAATCATTTTCTTTTCTGATGAGCAGCTGCGGAAGTCATCTCTGAAAACAAAAGCATCTGATTGTTAAAAGATCTTTTCTGCAGATGATGAAGCTAAAAAATAAAAACAGCAGACATCTACGACGATACGCATCATAACTTATCAGGAGGGTCAGAAACATTAATTTTCACTAACTTGAATGAGTTTTGGTATAGTTACCTAGCTATAGTTAGCAATACAATTTTTACTTCTTCTTTATTTTCTTTTAACTCTCAACTTACACAATGATGAATCTTACCTTTTACTTAAAAAGAAATAGTTTCTTTCTTTTTTTCTTGTTAAGTAACTAAAATAAAAACATGTGAATTTGCTAGTGTAAATGTGTGCACTTTCACTCTCATCATAATTATGTACATTAGGTACGTGCTTCTACCCCAGGTGACCTTTCTGCACTGCACATTTTCGAAAATTCTAGCACGTTCTGCATAGGCTCTGAAAAGCTCTGAGGGAGATCGGAATTAGAAAAGCGTTTACAGTTGTGCCAGGGTTTGGTCGCAGCTCTAATGCAGAAATTTAACATTTAAGTGTATTTCGATAAAAATTTCTATTACAATCAGTGATTATACGAATGAGTACTGTAAGAAAGAACAAAGACAAAGAAAAAATCTGTATTCTTTTTGCACTTTTGCATTGTCGGGCATGGGTATGAAAATCGTACCCGAGCACATCTATACGATAGAAAGATATATATGAATGTGAAGAATGGATGCTAAACACGACGTCAAAGAAAATAACTAAATTTCTACAAAAAAGAGAATCACCAGTTTTTCACTGAAAATTCGATTTTTTTCAGAGACTCGAAGACGCATGGAGACAAGTGGATCCTAATTGAAATAGTAAAAGCCGCCTTTTCTGCAATCAAGACCATCACAATTGTAAAACTCTTCTGATCTTTCCTTCTTTTGCTACAGTCGTCAGACTAATACACAATGCTGAAAAGTCCCAATTCTTATCAACATTTTCAAATGTTTTTCCCTATTTGTTTGTTTATTTGCCATCTTTCTATTTCAGAAAATCTTCACTCTGGCAAACATGACACTAAAACGTAAAGGTTCTACTAAATCAGTACCTGCTTCTTCTAAGTATCGTGATAGGATGTGTGATAGAATTAACAGTAATTCAAAATCATGTAAAACCAGTATATCGGGCTTTCGTTAAAAAACGTTCATTAAAAAAGGAAGTTCATTAAAATTTTAACGAAACTTCTTATTTGTTCGGCGGCTCTGGATTTGCATTAAAATTTTTAATGAAATTTTTGTGTTATCAAAAAGTTTTAATGCCACTGTCACAACCACTCAGTCACTGTGCAGGAGTCATTTTAATGAAAGTTAGGTAAACAGAACGTAAGTTAAACACCCGAAAATAGATATGTTTAAGCGGAAAAAAATTATCTATATATCGCGAACCGATACATATAGGACGTGAAACAGGTTTCTCTTGCTAAGCGATATATATATATCAGCTATAGGACATTTACAGATTGCGTTATTGCGTTCAAGAAAAGAATAGTAATCTTTAAGGAGGGTCAGTCTAGTGACCTCGAATTTTCACTAAAATTTTTAATGAAGTTCTTCTGCCATCAAAATTTTTTAATGAAACTCTTGTGCCAACAAAGTCATTTTAATGAAATTTCTGTTAAAATGTTTTCAACGAAAGTGCTGAGGTTTTCATTAAAACATTTTTAATGAAAGTTCCGGTACTTTCATTAAAAAAGAAACGTTTTAATGAAAGTCACCCAACCCGTAAAACCACAACAAAAGCAAATGCTCCTGCTGATAGAAAAGATGATCAATCAATAAAAAATTCTTACGAAAAAGAAGAAACTCAAATAAATAAAAAACAAACCAAAATAAAAGTCAGTCAAAAAATTAAACATGAAGTTGGTGAAACTCTTGAATATCATCCCGTACTAAGAAATATCTCATAACGGGTTTTTAACTTTAACACAACACGAGCGAATGAAGCCAAATTTTTACTATAAAGTTTTCGAAACATCTTGAATTTAATGAATTACATCAATAGCGTTTAGACCGAGCAAAAAATGGTTTCCTGGGGAACTGGATTCTCTACAAAACCTGTTTCTTCTCTTTTACTGTTATTGGAAAAAAACAGTGCTCTCGGTTGTTTTTCGAATAAATCGAGAACAAACAGAGCTACAGAGTTTGCGTCCTCACCATTGGAAAGAGAAGACTTGATTACATATTTTCTTAACGGAAAACATTTCAATAATCTTTTTCGAAAGCAGGTTTTTTAGCAGATCTTTGGAAAATCAGGTCATAGCTCACGAACTTCAAGTACTAATTGTTTTCATTTTCTTACATGGGTAGATAGCCCCGAGTATCCAGTTTAAAATGGACTTTTAACATACTACTTCGAAGTGTCCTCTAAACTTGAAAAATTTAACAAAACAATTAAAAATTAAAAAGCTTCTCTAATTTTCAGCTTCGAGAAAATTTTTTCGTAGCACCTTGCACGGAAATTTTCAAATTTCTACTTATAACCTCGATTTTGTTGTCAATCGATATAGGACATCAAGATGTTTCAAAATCAATGATGTATCAAAAGTTCGGTCAAGTTTTAACTGAGTTGTTCTGCTTTGACCTGTCCGAATGGAATTTTGGAACAAAAAGTATCTCTAAAACACCTTGAATCAAATTTCGTTTGAAGGAATCGTTTTCAAGACATTTTGAAACAAAAGTTGTTCAAAATTACATTCTGCAGAATATTGACTTAGGATTTTTAAAAATTCGTTAAACTAGATTTTAAAATTAAAAATATGGTTTTCAAAAATTAAAATTTCGTAAAATTTAATTTAAAAATCTAGTTTAACGAATTTTTAAAAATCCTAAGTAAATATTCCGGAGAATGTGATTTTGAACAACTTTTGTTTCAAAATGTCTTGAAAACGATTCCTTCAAACGAAATTTGATTCAAGGTGTTTTAGAGATACTTTTTGTTCCAAAAATCCATTCGGACAGGTCAAAGCGGAATAACTCAGTCAAAATTTGACAAAACTTTTTTATAAATGCATCTTGGTGTCCTCTTGACATCAAAATTAAGCTTTTAGATAGAAACTGGAAATGAAGCACAAAATAGGGACTAAACTTAAAAAAAATTTTCTCAAAAACCACATGTACAATGACCGAAAGCATTTTACCTTGTGTACTTCAAACTATCATACAAATCTGCTCCTTACGACGACGTCGAAATACTCTCAGTAATTTACACCATCGACTGAAACAATTAACAAAAATTAGTGTATGTAAGAAAAATTGAAATAAAGAAATTAAAAAGAGAAATAAAGAGACAAATACATTGTATTAATCATTTGATAAATATTTTCGATTGATGAATATATTTTCAAAACAACCAAGGGCTCTTCGCACTGTCGATCAACAAAACGCATGTTATTACTCATACAAAATTACTCATATGTACATGATTCAAGCGCACAAAATTCTTTTGTTTTCTAAAGTAGATACTCCGCTTTAGTTTGCTTTTTCCAGCTTACACATTTATTTTTTAATAAAACAGATGGTAAACTTACGTTTCATTTTAATAATCGACAGTTCTTTCCTTTCATGTCAAATGAATGATGAAACCAAAACAATGTGACTACTGTGTACAGTCGTTTTTTAATCTCATTATATTTACATTATCTACTCCGTAACACTTTTTTTTCTGTTGCTACTTTGCTACTTTTTTC